AACTTAGTACAGGGATAGTCACTCTCCTATACAAGAAGGGCGATAAGGAAGATATAAGGAACTACAGACCCATAACGCTACTACCGGTAGTATACAAAATCCTAGCAAAAACTCTAGCTAACAGAATAAGAAACATAACAGACAAATGCTTCCACATAGACCAAACGGGATTTATACCAGGGAGATATATCCTAGACAATGTTGCGACGCTTAATGAGGCAACAAAAATCATAAAGGATAAAAAGCTACAAGCGGCCATACTATTTTTTGACTTTGAAAAAGCGTATGATCAAGTAAATTGGGACTTCCTTGAACAAAGCATGGAGAAAATGGGAGTGGGCCCCAACTTTAGGAGATGGGTAAGGGTGCTGTATGGGGATGCAAGGGGGATGGTCCAGGTTAATGGTCACTTATCTGAAAAATATAAAATGACCAGGTCAGTCAGGCAAGGCGACCCTTTAGCGGCCCCCATCTTCCTATTCGTCATGGAGGCAATCGCAGCTTTCCTATGCAAGGACCCGTCAATAGAAAGATTAACCTTACAACAAGACGGCAGACAATTGTCTATCCCAACAGTGATGCTTTTTGCTGATGGCCTGACGGTGCTCATCAGAGCATCAGACTCATCTTTCCTAGCTCTTACAAGAGCAATGCAGGCCTTTCAACTGGCGTCAAAAATGAAGATTAATTGGAGAAAGACAGTAGGTTGGTGGCTAGCATCCTCACAACCTCCCCGGCTAACCCAAGATACCCAGGGCTTACAATGGTTAGACACACAGCAACCAATGCGCTTCCTGGGGATTCAGGTGTCAACAGAAGGGACCAGCAATGAGAGCGGAACCAGCCTGCTTATCAAAATGACAAACAAGTTAGTTGGGTGGCAGGTGCTAAATGTCTCAATGATGGGAAGAGTATTAGTTATTAATACGTCAATACTCTCGATGGGCTGGTACGTAGCTTCTCTGTGGAACCCGCCAGCAGGTTTCTTCTCCTCACTTGAAAGAAAGATAGGAGCATACCCGTGGACGGGTAAAACTAATAAGGAACACTATATAAACAAAGTAGCCTGGAAATACATAACCAGAACAAGTTTGCAAGGAGGGTTAGGTCTCCTTAACCCGGCAGTTCAATTTAAGGCCCTGCAACATAAGTGGATAATCAAACTGCTGCTCAACAAAGAGCTCCCTTGGCACGAAATGGCCTTGCATCAAATTCGGAACCTAGTCCCTTTTGAAGTGGACCCGTCCATAGAAGGCTACCACTGGATATTAAACCCGGCCTGGAACCCTAGAAGAAAAGGAGGGAGAGGACTTGCAGACAACAAAGATCCTCCGAGTGAACACTTGGCAACGCTTATAAAGCACTGGAGGGAATGTTTCCCGCTGAAAATACGAAAACCAAGAATAAGGGAAGAGGTTTTGAGGCAACCGCTGTTCGGCAACCCCACTTGAAGGACCAGAACGGCAAACAGTGGACATTAGACACGAAAGGTAAACACTGGAGGAAGTGGATGAGCAAGGGAGTCTGGAAGATAGACTACATGTGGATCTCGGAGGAAGGTAGATCGGTTACAGCACAAAAACTAAGACATAAGCTCAAGGGGGTCCACAACATTAAGGAGCAGTTAGAAAGAATCCTAGAAAGCATACCCCTAAAATGGTTGCTGTTACTAAGGAACGAAAGCAAATGGACGGCGGGTGAWTGGGCAACCAAGAAGGGCAGGGGGGCACCGTCCGAAGCCTTCAGATTGATCAGAATCCTAGACTMGGAAACAGGGAAAGCAGAATTTTGTTCCTATGAACTAAAGGAACCTCTCAGCTCGTGGGCCAAAATAGGTAGATTAAAGGCACCTAGGCTAGAGGGAYAACTAAACCACTACAGAAAGGTCAGGGCCTGCACACTTAAAAAGGGACAGAGGGGTAACCAAGCTATACCTTCTGATCCAAGCAAAATAAGGCTATACAGACCCGATTTGGACATAAAAGATTTGGAGGTAGACCCGGCGGAATGGGGATGGTTGGTACCCAACAAAGCAGGGAGTGCCAGAAAATTGGTACCAATCTATGAATATGAAGTTAAAACGGGATACAGACTATGCAATAAAACATCGGACCCACTACCAGTAATCTCAGAAAGGTGGAAAAAGAACTTGGAAGAAAGCGCGGACTGGTCAAATCAAATTCCGTGGGAGCAGTATATGAATATACGCCCAGCAAAGATTAGAAGTCTCCAATGGCTTATAATTTAYTGGGCCYTTCCAGTCAATCAATGGTTGGCCAAGAGGAGAAAACAAGAAGACCCTCTACAACTGAGTGCACAGTGTAAASTGTGTAGTGAGGGCGTGGAGGAATCGTTGGTACACTGCCTGATATCCTGTCAAAAAGCGYGGGACACGTGGGGGGAAATAAAGGGGAAGTGGACCAAGTTAACGGGATGGGAGTTCCCGTCCAATCCGCAGTACCTGCTGACCGGAAGGTTGGAGAACGAGGGTCTAGAGGAGGACTCAGAAGTAGTAGCCGAGTTATGGAGGAGGGCAACTCTGTGGGAGATTTGGAAAGCAAGGTGCAGAAGCACGTTAGAAGGCCAAACTACAAGCCTGGAAGAGAAAAGGGAGGGAAGTAAGTGCACAATACAAACAGAAATAAGGGCTCGGTGGTGGAGAGACCTAAGAGAACAACAAAAGATAACGCTCCCGGATAAAAGGGAATTAAAGAGATTAGCGTTCACCAAAACATGGCTCTTGGGGGGCAGAATAGCAAAGCTAGAAGGGGACAATCTAAGATTCACAAGCTGGGACGAATCCGGGACAGCACAACCACTGTAGGTACTGCACTGATTATTAAAAAAAGATCAGAAATCTGTTGTGGTGGATGGCGTGCGCTGCCTTACCAGTGAACCAATGGCTGCACACTACGCGTAAAGCTACCAATCCGGATAGCTCGGAGATATGTACAGTCTGCTTGGCAGGAACGGTAGAGGACATAGTTCACTGCTTGGTGCACTGTATGGAAGCGACAGATTACTAGGCGAGAGCCTCTTCCTTGTGGGACTCCCTCTTCTCTTCCCCTTACCCTGAACAACCCATCCAACTACTCCTCCTCACTAACATCCCCACGATAACTTGGGAGGGCGGAATCGAATTGGTTTGAACTCATCAGAAAGGTGACCCTATGGGTGATCTGGAAGGAGAGATGTAGCAGACCAACTGAAGGACTATCAAATCCAAGAGACAAGGTATGGAAAGAGTCCAAGTCGATTATCCAAGCAGAGACATTGTGCAGATGGAGGAGAATCAAGCTGAAATGGCCCGAGGACGAAGAGCAGTGAAAGAAAGTGAGATCGAAATTGAGCAGGAATTGGCTG